CTTTACCCCAAAAGGTCTCATACCAATTGGAGTGACACACCTACATATATAGTACTTCTCCTTTCCACACCCAGGCGATGTGGGATTGTGCACCTGTAACTTGTCCAATGTGGTAGCCTGCCAGTGCCTCTTGTACCTGCCCACAAGGTTGCCATATGAAAACTTGAAAACTTTATATTAACTTAATCTCAATGGTACATTAATCCATAAATATACTCCAGGGACTGCTACCCTTGTAATTTTAGAACTTGTAAGATTTGGGTTAAAATCATAAAATTTCCTCCACTATTTCAAAACATCACATAACCCCTTATACTAACAAATAACCCCCAGAAGTAACAAAAGCGGTCACTTTACCCCTATTTCGTGAGGCAGATGTTAACTGACATGTGAAATGACAAAATTGACCTCCGTTGTTAAAATAATAAAACCCCCTATATTGTCCAATATCTGTCATATAATACTCTATATTAAGGAAAATATCTAAAACCTCCATTACTTTTTAAAAGTCCGTCATATCACCACTAGTTCTTTTGTTTATTGTCAAATTGTAACTAGACAAAAGCATTTGCTTGTCATACACCCAATTTTAAAAATAATATATAACCAGATACCCTTTTAATCCCTTAATGACCCAGATGCCCTTTTAAACCCCAAGTCAAGTCCTAAACTTGTATTATGTAATTAAACTTTAAAGTTTTGTAAATAATTGTAATATATTTTTCTATATAATGTTAATCTTAGTATGTAAATATAAATATATGGAAAAATAATATTAAAAATAAGATAATTTTTAGTTTAGCAATTTTTTCAAAATTTCAAATATTAAAAAGAAAATAATTTTTACTTTAGCAATTGTTTCAATTTTTTTTAAAGTTTTAATTTTAAAATATTTTTTGAATACTTTGATTCCACTTTGGTAAAGATATATCATTTTTACCTTGATTTTAAAATATATATAATTAAAAATAACTCACAAGGTTTAATAAAACATGATTATCCTGATCAAAGTAGAGAAGTACTTAGTAATTTATATAATGAGTAGTTATAAATAAATTCATTTATAGTTAAAAATATTAACATATATAATATACAATTTTAATACTCCTAAGACTTGCCAATTGATCAACAGGGGCCTAACGGTACCAGACCCCTACTTCTCAAAGGGAGGTTAGGGGTTAGAGCCTTAGTGGAGGGAGGCATGTGTGTGTGATTATCAATTAAGGAAAAAAAAAAAAAGACTTGTCAAATTGAGATTAATATATAATTTTAAATATTTTTCTTAAAACACTATTTTAAGAAAATATCTGAGAATGGGAGTAAAATGACCATTTTGGTTAGTTTGGGGTTTATTTGCTAGTATATGAGGTTTCCTGATCAAATTAAATAATATAAGGGAGTTTAATGATTTTAACTCTTAAAAAGGCATTTTTGTCGTATAATATTTAAAAAGTTGGTTGCCAAATAAATGGAATGAGGTTGATATGATGGTTTTTTAAAAGAGTAGTGATACTGACATCTAACCTAATAATTTTTAATTGGCTATTTATACCAAATACAACTAAATGAATAGCTCTACTTTCTTATTTATTGTATAATTGACCAATTAAAAGAGTAAGTTTAGTAATTCACTTTAATTATTCGATACAAAAATCATATCCCTTTTTAAAAAGTAATTGAGTTTTTAGATAGTTGATTGTTTTGAAATATAATAAGGAGGTTTTATGATTTTAAAACTAAGTAGTGTAGCATTGTTGTATCATGACCAAAGGGTCTTTGGCCCAATAGTATAACCTCCCCATCTTCAAAAAGAGGGAAGGGGTTTGGGCAAAAAAATGTGTGTGTTTTTGCTTTACCATCCAAAAATAATAATAATAAAAATAAATAAATAAATAAATCATTGTTGTATTAGGTGAAGGGTTGTTCAGTCATTAACATAAGGAAGTCTATTTAATCCCCGTAAAAAAACCAACGAGGGTATTTTGGTCATTTAAAGGACGGGCCCAGTTCCGTGATTATAGTTCAAAACGCGTTTTACTCCGCGTGACAGACCTATCGTATGTGGGTATCTCAAGAAATTCAGCAAAATTTGAGGAATAAATATTTGGAATTATTCCTTTTATGTGGCGAACAGGTGGCATACAGCTGTATGATGCCAATAGAGTTGAATTACAAAATGCCCCATTATGTTCTGTAAAATTACCTCATTGCTACGAAGTCATTTATATTGTTTAAAAAATGGAAAATTATGGATTCAAAGTTTTCAAACTTAACTTTTGCATTGTAATTAATTTTACAAAGAAAAAAAAAAAATCACATGATTATCCTTTCAAAAATTTACTCACTTGTCTCTTCCGAGACTTTAATCTTCCTTTAAGAGGTAAAGGACTGATACCGTTAGATCACTAGCTCATTGATAAAAATAATAAACTATTTAAAAACTCGATTACTTTTTAAAAACTCAAATATATATATATAAAATCCTCCGTATTACATACAATATAAATATATATATAAATAAAATCCTTTCAAAAAAATTAATGAATTAATTACTCTCTCTCTATATATATTTATTGTTCTAAAAAATACTCTTATACTCACTTTTGAATAATAATTTTATTTTATTAATTAAAAATTAAATTAGAGTGTAATGAGAAAAAGTCAAGTACCAATATAATATCCCTTAATAATAAAACAAAAGATTAAGCATTATAAGGAAGGTCTGAAGAACTTTGGTGCCGTTGCCATGATGAGCTAACAATATATATGATTATATTACCCCCGAAAAAAAAAAAGATAAATAATTTAAAAACAAACATATGTATAATAGTTGTTGGACTATAATGTTAATTGACTCATTTATGAAATTTAAAGACTATATTAAATAATGTAATTCCTTGTGTATGTAACACAAGTCTTATATGTTATGTTTTTCATATGTTATATTTTTCTCTTTTTTCTAACAAACTTTTAATCAAAAGTGTTGTGGCCTAGTGATATATATTTTTTCTTTTCTAAAATGAATGGTAAGACTTCGTGTATGAATGGTGTGTATAAATTTTTTGCCAATGAAATGAAAAAATAAAAAAAAAATTAGTAAAAGCACTTAAAATATAATTTATAGTATGTTGGGTTGTATAAAATTGATGTCTTGAATTTAATTTTGTGAGATAGATGAATTTTCGTCTATGACATATTTAAGAGTCCATTTTATTATTTTTTTAAAATGATCTGGCTTGATGTATCATATCCACTATTGTGTACAACACCATATTGTATGGGTTCTCCATTATTTCTAATTTGAAGTAATGTGTTAAATTATGATTTAATTGTGTTGAGTGCAGCAATAGTGTAATATATTAACATTAAATAGAATATAATTTTATTAATATATTTATATAAATGGGGATTAAGGATTAGAAAAGTCTATATTTAACCTTATTTTATGGTGATGCAAACCTATAGTAACAAATATTATCAACCAACCAAACTAAGACAAATATATATGTATAAATATTATGTTTGGGTTTCGATTGGTTAGTTTTTTTTTTTTTAATATATATATATATCTAAACATGCAAACCTATAGTAACAAATATTATCAACCAACCAAACTAAGACAAATATATATGCATAAATATTATGTTTGGGTTTCGATTGGTTAGTTTTTTTTTTTTTTTTTTTTAATATATATATATCTAAACCACGAATTGAACCAACATTTTCACTACTTTTAAAATCTAAAACTAAAACCACCCATAGAAACAAACCAAATTGCAAGGTTTGGATTTGTTATAAGGGTGTACACGGTTCGGATTTGACCGATTTGAAAATATTTTAAAATTAAACTGTTCGTAACGGTTTTAGAAAAATTGTAATTGAACCAAACCGTGAAATAATGTGACCAAACCGAACTGAACCAAATTGTGAAAAGCGGTTCTGATTCTAAGCCTTTTTTTTTATAATTCAATATTCTATATATATATATATAATTAAAAATATATATATTATATAATAGAAACTTTCTATCATAATATAATTTTTATTATATATTATGACATATAGTCGAGTGGTTAAAGGGCTAATCTTACTATTCTATTATTTATATAATAAAGAATATATAAATATATATACAATTTATAAAACAGTTCAGTTCGGTTCTATTTAGTATTGTAGAATTTTAAATTGTAACCAAATCGTTTATAAACAATTCCTTATTTTTGGAACTGTAATCGAACTGAACTGTAAAAAAATAAAACCAAACCTATCGATTCAGTTCGATTTATTGGTTCAACCGATTTTTTGTATACCCCTATTTTGTTATGTGCGTTTTATAACTCACCCATGGACTTTTTATCTTTATAAATACTTCAAACATTAAACTTTTTTTGTCTCCATTTGTTTGAATATAAAATATTTTTTACTTTTTGGTTTGGTTGTACAAAATTTAAGTAAAACTTAATAAAAATAACTTGTGCTTTTGTTCTGAAATTTTTTTCAAAAAATTTGCAAACACCGTAAAATAAAAAATAAAAAATAAAAAATAATTTACCTAAATATATATATATATATATATATATATATATATATATATATATATATTCAATTTAAAGGTCACTTGGTTAAGCAAAAATACACAAGTAATGAGGACAGGAACAATTAAACACACAGGACAAAGTTGCCAGACGTCTATAAAAGAAAGAAAACTGTAGTGTGATACACATCATTAAGCAGATTTGGTGTCTAATTAATTAATAGATTTCAATATTTCATCGTACAAGTTTAATTAATTTATTTAAATAAAAAAATTCAAATATATATAATATATATTATGTGGATCTCACACTACCTATTAAGATTTAATCGATGGGTAGTTACCAAATATACAAAAGATTTAGTTGATCCGTGATATAATGTCAATATTACAGTCATCATTGTATAATTTCCTAAAAGGGTATTTACGGAAGATAAAAACCAGAGAGACGTGGCTTTAGAGTGAGAGTGTGTGTGTGTGTGTGTGTGAGAGAGAGATAGAGTAGTGAATATAGACGAGGAAGGAGTTTGCATTTTCATCTTCTTGCTAAACAGAGGTTCTGCATTGTTGTGCTTATTTTGGTGTAAAGAACGAGTCATGGGCGATTCAAGTGACTCAGTTTCAATTGATATTGATATGGCACCTCTAGGAGGGAAGGTAACAAACACACCCACCAAAAACCATTCATTGCTCTTCAATGCATATCCGGTTCTTTCTCTTCTACAATGTCTGCTTACTGATTTTTATTTTTTTATTTTTCTCTTTTTTGTTGTATATTCAATACCTGTTTCTCTATTGACAGTTATTTAATTTAATTTTTTTTTTCTAAAACATTTTTTTTCTTGATGGATATTGTAGGAATGTTCAGTTAAGACAAGAAAAGGTATAATCTCAGTTTTTGTATGTGGGGATCTAGGAAAACCGGCTTTGATAACATACCCAGATGTTGCTCTCAATTGTATGCCTCAATTTCTTTTTCAATTTCAATGTCATAAATAAAGTGATGCTATGTAATATGTTGCTTGAACGCTAATTTTAATGGGTTCTTTTATTCTAGCTCGAAAACATTGAAATATGATTGAGTTTCTGTGCTTAATTTCTTGCTTTCACAGACACGTCCTGTTTCCAGGGTCTCTTCCTTTGCCCAGATGCAGCTTCTTTGTTGCTTCACAACTTCTGCATTTACCATATTGATGCCCCAGGGCATGAGGTCGGTAATTCGTCGCCTTTTTACTGCTGTGGGATTTTGTTTGTTTGTGTAATTATTGGGTTCAATTGGTACTTATATGTACACTTGCTATTGAATTTCTTGGGATTCTTTGGTAATACTAAAAGATTTCCTCACCATTTGTTTTAAGAGTTGATGCAGTTGGGAGCTGGTGTGATATGTTCAGATGTGCCATTGCTCAGTGTGGATGATCTTGCAGACCAGGTTGCTGAAGTACTTGATTTTTTTGGGTATGTAATTGTCTGCTTTAATATTTAACTGTTTTGCTCTTCTAGACAATGGTACTAACAGAAGTGTTTGTAATTAGTTTTATTTATTTTATTTTTTATTTTTATTTTTATTTTTTCTTAGTTGGTACTCACACGCACTTGTCTTTTCTAAGACTTGAACCCCTGACCTCCCTTTGGGAAGTAAGAAGTTGATACCGCTAAGCCACTGGCCTGTTGGTGTAAAAATTAAAAGGCTTGCTTTATCTTTTTCATTTTTTTATTTTTATTTTTATTTTTTGTTGTGGTAAGTAAGTTTCTTTATTATTAAAAAGGAAGAATGCAATGTGGTCAAAACATATAAACCTTTCACAATTTGGAAGGATAGGCCAAATGCAAAAAAAAAAATAGAACCTCTGACTATCATAGCGGTCTACACTAAAAATTCATAGCATACATCCCAAGAGGTTAAAACATAAAGCCTGAATAGCCAGAAAGAAAACATTTTAATTTTTGAGTTTGGGTTCTTACTGGCGATCCACATAATGCACGAACAAAGACTGCGTGGTCTGAGTTATCTTGAGGAAAAGTAACTAAATTTGCTTCGTTAGGATTCTTTCGCATGTTACTCAAAACCTTGTTCAACCTCATGGACAAAGGCTTTGCACTTCTATGTCAAGTCTACAATTGGCGTTACTCTTAGCTTCCAAATTTGTTTAGGTTTCACTATGGGGGGCACCAACACAAGGTGTTCATCCAATTGCCTCGCAAAATAAAGACTTTTGGGGTTTTCATGAAAGTTCCATCTTTATTCCTAAGGGTTTCAAATGGCTAGGATTGTTGTTAAGCATGGTAGTACTGTAATGTAACAATCTACATTGTTCTCAATACATATTCTAGCAAAGGTAAGGCAACTTCTAGACTGAGTTGGCTCATCTAGGTATAGGTTTCTTTATAATTCTATCAATAAAGCTTAAACCATCTTCCATCCAAAATTGCTATGGAAAGTTTAAAAAAAAAAATTATGGTTCTAACCAAACTCTAGACTGTGGAGACTTAGAATTTTGAGGCGGTCTCATCTCCGTCTGATTGGAAAAGAAAGTTAGAATCTTTTGATTAATTAAATTCATTAATGTGGGTCCCATCAATGAACACGTGGAAAAATCCCATGTAAAAGCTTTTTATGGAAAGTTTGATAAATAAAATTCAAATTTAGAGTTGTTTCTGAATAGGGAAGTCAAAAGATCTCTTGTTTTTTGAAAACTTAGCTCAATTATTTGGGAGTTTCCAAATTAAAGATCCCACCATTTTGCCTATAAATACAAGGCTACTCAACACATTCAAGACACAGAGAGAAACTGCTGAACTTGTAAAACTCTTCCAACACTTGAAGTTCCTGAAGAGAAACGACAACAATCATGTCACAAGTGTCGTTCTTCTTTGAAGACTTTCAACACTTGAATTTTGTTAAGATGAAGAAAACCAGCATGCCACACAAGTGTTGTTCTTCTTTGAAAACCATCAACCACTGATCAAGATCAAGTTCCATCGGCCCTCGATCAGAAATCAATTCAAGCCTTCTTTAATCACAAAGAATTGAAGATAGTTCATTACAAGAGGTTTAAAATCAAGCTTTTGACACCCTTTAACTGGACAACTCAAGGAGATTGAATCAAAGGAAGATTCTTGATTGTACTAGAATAGACCACAAAGAATTATACCGTTTTCTGAAAATTAATAAAATTGATTATTTGTTCTGAATTTTCATTCCTATATTTTCAGACACGAAATTTAACTGTTTTTCTCTTCTATATTTTCAAGTATTCTTACCAACGCTTCTGCGTTAATAATCTTCAAAATAAAATTTGCCAAAAGTTCTCATGGCAGCTTTAGAGAAATACACCCTCTAAACACTTTCAACTGAAAGGGAGCAACACTAGACAATGACCCATTTTTTTTTATCACATCCGCTGTATGAAATTGTGTACTTAGAGAATTTTTCGTTGAACTATACACTGAGAGTTTCCAGTAAAAGAGATATTTTGGTGGACATTGATGAATATTAATGCTCAAATATCATGACATTATCTAGTAGTATATAGGATTTTGATAATTGGGTTGTGAGCCGGTGGTATTGTGCTAATGAGTCCTCAGAACCAGATTTACATGTATCATTGTCATAGGTGCATGTATTTTTGTGTTTTTAACAAGATTATACACAAGGAGTTTCTCTGGTACATCTCCTATGCTACCATTGTTGAATATTAAGATTTTAGGGCTTCATGCAATTTTGGAACTAATGGACGAATAGGCCTTGAAATCTGCAGATTTTGTAATAAATAGATCACTATGTAATGTATAGAGTGAAACTATGGAAACAAGATAGGTGGTTTAACAATTCATGCCATCCGTATACCACTTCTATGGGTTGGTTTATATAGATGTAGATATTACTCATAACTTAAATTTTGATGTTCAAATTGCTTTAGTGTGGATATTATGTTCTCAATGCATTCTAAAAAAATAAAAACTCGATAGGAATTTATGAGTAAGCAATTAATGCAACCCACAAGTAATGTGCTGTTAAAACTAAGGAAGATGTGTTTCAAAGGTAGGAGGAATTAGTACAGAGGCCAACGAAGACCAAAGGACTGAAGTGGTCATCAAATACCCACTGAAGCTAGCTCAAGTTCAAGGTTTTAATTTAACCTCTAGTTAGGTTGAGAATAGGTTAGGTTACTTGGTTGGATGAACAATTTTCTTGCACAGACACACGCACATATATATATACTTTCTTTCAGGTTGCAGTTCACATTGCTATACATAACTTAGAAAAGAAGAACATAAGACTTGCATTAAATATAGGAGGAAAGAAACTATATTTATACAAAGGAAAACTGAGTGGCCCCGGGAAGAGTATGGGCCATTGATATTTGTTATTATTGAGAAATCATATCCCATTGAAAGTATTTAAATTTCTCTGTACCTCATAGCTTAACCATTAATATCTAATTATATAGACATATATGTAGCACATGTAATAACAACAACAATATTAATTATAGCTGCGACAGCAAAAGCAGCAATAGTAACAGTACATGGCCAAACCCTCTTAGATGACATTCCATCACCATGTTTTTAAATTGTCACTAGTTTTTTATTTTTTATTTTTTTAATTCTAGTTCAGAATTGACTTTTTGTAAAATTGTTTTTACAATTTAGTTTTGTTATGGTTGATGATTATATCAATAATAAAAATTCTTAAAGCCGGTGTGGGTTTCATTGGTAACTTAATTGCCCCATGATGAGTGCAGCATTATGGTGCTACTTTTCTGGGGAATAATAAATTAACTCCATTCTGATTTTCATGAATTTTAAGAAAGTAAAGGCTAAAATGGTGTTTTTATAAAGGCAATTATTTTTTAAGTTTAAAGACATGCCGGTGCCTAAATTTGTGGACCTCCTAAGTATAAGAAATGCTAAATCAACTCACTTTCTAGTTGCAGCCATCATACCGAATTACTCCGGTTGAATATAAATTTCTTCTTTAGTAATCTTTTTTGGTGAGCACAAGTATGCATACTGGCATACCAATATCTTATTATATTGTAATTATAAATGGTTTTTTTTTTTATTTTTTATTTTTTATTTTATATATATATATATATATATATATATATATATATATATATAAAATAAATAAATAAATATAATATAAGAGGAGACAGGGCTTGTATTAGAACAAAATGGAGAAAGAGGGGTTCATGTTCGTATGGTATGAAGGCAGTGATGATGATGATATGTTTTTTATAATGTAGCTGATATCCTTGTGTAATGAAATTGGTCCCATGAGATGCATCAATTATTTAAGTGTTTGACAATGTATTCCACCATGACATCTAAGTAAATGAACTTGTAGGTTTTCGTGCTAATTTTTATATGAAGAATTATAAAATAAAGCTTTTATAAATTGCACCTTACCCCATGAAATTCCCTTTGAATATGATATTTGATAAGATGTATCCAATTTTTAACATCCTTAATCTAGGAGCCTCAATGAATTGGCAAAATTAAGGTTGTTATAGGAGCGTATTGTAAACTAGGTGTCATTTAACTACCAATAGTCCTAGGTTCGTCAAGGCTCAGCTAGATCGAGGGCCTTAACCTAACAGACTCACATAAAGCCCTCAGCTTCCCCTTTTTTAGTAGGTTCCAGGCTGAAAAAAGTCGCCTTATATCTTTTAGTTATTCATTCATGTAGTTTTCATTCTTTATTAAATGACCATTAAAATTAATGTTCTATATCATATAAAGATAATGCTTGATGAACCACATTGTTCAATCTTATGAAACAATTGACAGTATTCATAATTTTATGGTTGTACATTCATTAATTGTGTCTAGTGCTTGATTCTAAATATTTATGATAATGTATGTTTAAAATCTATATCATTATAGATCTTATTGTTTCACATTTGTAATGAAATTTTATTTAGTTTATACATATGTCTATCAGAAGGATTTATGCACATTAATTTACTTGATCCTTTTAGTTGATATATTGACATTTCAATGTTTAAAAAAGTTTTGGTTAGTTCTATTGCATATCTTGAATTGTTTTGATTGTACGTTGTTTTATCTTATGAAGTTGTAAAGATATATTTGAAAGTAATTATCAAAAAAAAAAAAAAAAGAAGTTGTAAAGATATATTTGTATTGATTTAACTTATTTGTCGAATTGATATAATGCTGTACGTTGATATTTTTATATTGATCGAACTAGTTTGTGTTGCGTGGTTTAGTTTTTGTAAATTTATATGCATTTTTATCACACCAGTGTCTTTCATCGACCAGACCCATGCCTTATGTTGTGGCTTGCGCTTAGGCTCCAAGCGAGGTTCGGCTCCCTAGTGAGCATTGAGATTTGATAAACTATGACCCTAAGTGAAGCCATAAGCAGGAAGAAGTTAACTTGAGAGTGCTGTCACTTTCTGTTCCTTTTGTAATGATGAATTTATGATTTTATGGTAGCATGTGTTTTTTTTAGGGGGGAAATAAATTCAAATGTATGTTGTGCAAATCATGGTCAGTATCAGTAGTGTACTGTGCACTCGGTGTCATTTAACTACCTTAAGCAAGACTTGAGGGTGCTGTAATTTGCTGTTCATTTTGTAATGATGAATTTATCGTAGCACATTGAGAAGGGAAATAAATTGAAATGTATGTCGTGCAAATCAAGGTCGGCATAGGTAGTGTATTGTACACTTGTCATCATTTAACTACCCTAAGCAAAGTCTTAAGCAGGAAGATGACTTGAGATTGCTATCACATTTTGTTATTATTATTCTTAGTAGCATGTTGAGAAGGGAAATGAATGAAATGTATATTGGCTCGTATAAGGTTCTAAACGGAAGATGGGAGAATATCCATCCTAAAAATCAGATTTCATTCCACTGAATTAAGTGAGATTTAAACTTCTATGATCTAAAAACTGTTCTAATTTTATTTAATGGAATTCCTTATCCAGGCTGAAAGAAGTTTTCTGCATGGGTGTAACTGCTGGTGCTTACATTCTTACGCTCTTTGCTGTAAGTTGGCAAAAGTCAGCTGCCCTTTTTCTCATTATGATACATTTTTTTCTTCTTGATTATTCATTGTATCATTATTTTCTCTCTGTATGGCAGACGAAATATAGAGAACGTGTACTTGGATTGATCCTTGTTTCCCCCATATGTAAAGAACCTTCGTGGACAGAATGGCTTTATAACAAGGTTCTAAACTCTATCACAAATTGAACACTCATGAAAGAGAGATTGAACAGAATGGCACTCAGCATCTGTGGCTAAAGCAATAATATGTCAGTGTCCCATGTAACACTTATAAAAGAATGGTGTTTGACCTATGTAACAATGCTATATACTCTCCTGCACGGAAATAGTAACAGTTATAATTTATTCGGTATTCCTGTTGGTTGGTTTCTTGATAGAGCAAACAAAGTAAAATTTTCTATTTACATATTACAATCGAAGTCATAATTCATATAGCATATTGTATGAAACCAATCCATGGCTGCATCATTCATGGTGGATGGGTTTCTATTCCCACAACTTCCCTCCTATAGTATTTTCATGAAAATTTGATAAATTGGCTCAAAATTTAGTACAACTTTATTTGTGCAGGTATTGTTGAACTTATTGTACTTTTACGGAATGTGTGGTTTATTGAAGGAATGCCTTCTCCAGCGCTATTTTAGCAAGGTACTTCATATCACCTTAATTTGAAGATTTCTCTCTGATCTTGGGTAAATTTAATCCTATAATACTTCTCAGGAACTTAGGTATGGCATGCAGGATGCAGAGTCAGACACCATCCAAGCTTGCCGAAGGGTAAGCAAATCTCAACTGCAACCTAAAATTCTTATTGTTTTCTGTTGGAATGAGTGATCTAAACCTTACTTTATCAAGGTCACAATAATGTCTAAAAGAAGCTTATATGTATGAAACTTGCATGGAGAGATCATTTTTTTATTTGTCTTTTCATTGTTTCATGTTTAATTGTTTAAACTTTATAATCTATATTTATAATATGATCTGTGTGAGTTGCATTTGTTGAGAAGAGAACACTGAACACCCAAGCCCTTTCATGCTTGTGCAAACCATTCACATGTTATACTTCCATGCACCATTTTCTATTATCAAAAAGGAGGAGCAATCATTTAATTCTCTCTGTTGCATCCTTGTTGATTTTCAATATATATAAATATATAGATGTACAAAATGAAACAGGCTTAATCTGTCTATCCTGTGTCTGCAGTTGTTGGATGAAAGGCAAAGTTTGAACGTCATGCGACTTCTTCAAGCAATTAATGAGTAAAATCTTGCATGTTTTATGAATTTGTCTTTTCAATTATCATAATTTTGTAATTTTTCTGCCCCAGCTTTATTTTAAACTGTGTTCTGCACCAACTTAGGAAGGCCTGAGATTGTCACTGGTCACATTAACATAATGTTCTACTTGGCTTGTGGTAACCATGTTTCTTTGGCAAAAAATGCTTATGTTTCAACCCACCCTTCTTCTTCTACATTTTTTTTTTAAAAAAAAAAAGAAAAAAAAAGTCTTAATTGGATACTTTATATCTGCAAATAGGATTTTCCTCAGGAAACAACAAATGTATTATACGTCAAAGATATGTCAGTGGGAGAGTGGTTGATTGACTCCTGACAATTTTGTGCCAGTACCTGACTCCATCTTTTGCTTTGGGACGTGATATGGTTAGGATTTAAATCACAAGATTCAAAAATAGATTTACATAAATTTGGCAGAAGCGGCTGAAAATGACAAAGCTCCTTAGGTTTTTTCGTCTACCGATAGCTACCTCCCCAACTTGCCTTTGCCGTCCAATATGAAGTTTTATTCTTGTAAAGAATGAAGAATTTCTTTTCTTGTTAAGTTGCCTCCCATCAGTTAATAACAGAGTTTTTTGGCAGGAGGCATGATCTCACAGATGGCTTAAAGAAGCTGCACTGCAAAACTCTCATATTTGTAGGTGAATGCAGTCCATTCTATGCCGACTCCGTGTACATGAATTCCATAATGGACCAGAGAATCAGCACACTTGTTGAGGTAAAACTTTTTCTTCGTCTCTCACCCAATTTATCTTTCTCGGGACTATATATAGGTTGCAATGTCTAGCACATGGTTTTAAAACTTGCATTTCAAGATTTAGGATGAGAAACTTGCAAGTGTATTGCATTTAACGGGATAAAATTTGTTCTCAAGCCTGTGAAATGATTGAGAATAGCTCTGGGAGTAGGTTGTAAAACCTCTCATGGGAAGCTTTTGGGGAAGAATGGGATTTATTGAATTTCCTTTTGGTGTAAACTTTCTGCTGATGATTTTCTTTGCGTTCAAATTCCTAGTAATTCTGTGTGCCTTGAAGAGACAAATAGGGAAAAGGATAAAAAGGTGAAAGGAAAAGGTTATGAAGACGGTGTCTTACTCCTTCCAATGGCTCTTTTCCTTATTTCATACACTTACCCGAGCACACAGTTATCAAGCCCTACCCAAGCACAATATGTTGGGGATAGCCTAAGGAAACCAGCTTCATAATTGTAGCTTCAAATTAGATGAAATTTGAAGCATGCCTTATTTTTTTTTTTTTATTATTTTGTCGTGGTAATTAACTCCCACTTTGCTCATGGGGAGACCTGAACCCTCTACCTTTTTCACTTTTAAATAATGCCTTGATTATAAAGTTCAATAATTCATCCTTGTTGACCTATTTTGCCCTGAATTTGAGTTGTGCAATTCCAAATATTGGACCCAAACTTTCATTTAATGTTTATATATATATATATATATATATATATATATATATATATATATAGAGAGAGAGAGAGAGAGAGAGAGAGAGAGAGAGAGAAAGTAAAAAAGAGTGTGTTAGTAAATGAGGAAAAGCTTTGTAGCTGTGCACCGAGAGAAGGAACTGCTTGTCGGGTGGTCACCCAAGTGATTCTGCTTAAGTTAGGGCCTCCACGTTCATGGCATGTTGCAAGGTTTATTATAGATTATAATAAATATGGTATGATGATTATATTTGCATGTAACAGGTTCAATCATGCGGCTCACTAGTGACGGAAGAGCACCCATTCGCAATGCTAATCCCCATGGAATTCTTCTTAATGGGGTTTGGTGTCTACCGGCAGCCACCTTTTGCTTCCTCGTCGAGTCATGGCTCAACCCCTGCCAGGCTTTCAATCCACTCATGTATAGCACCAGAGCTGCTCTCTCCAGAGAGTCTAGGTATCAAGCTAAAACCCATCAAAACCCGTGCAACCATTGAAGCTTAAAGCAGAAAATGTGCCCCTCTTCATGTCATTGCTGCATTCCACAAATGTCGGATGCCATAGCTTTTTTTTCTTTTTCTTTTCTTGCACATATAAATGTAGTCACATTTAGTGTATCATTATTCATTCTTTGATTGAATTAATGTGTTGATAGCGGCGTGTTTTGGTGTGTAAATTCATTTGAATGGATTCTTTCTAGGTGATTAGACAAATTGATTAAGAGATGTTTAATCATTTTGAGGTTAGTGGTGTGATTTTGTTGAAGGGAATCATGTGTATGTGTACTTTTTCTTTAAAAATCACTGCTGTGTAATTTTGATAATACTTTGTAATAGCAAGCCAAAGGAAGACCTAGTGGCCAAATTTCTTCTTCTTCTTCTTCTTTTTTTTATATTATTTTTTTTCAATTCATAATTACAAGTTTTATTGATGCATGTAGGCTCTTCACTTTTTTTTTCTCCTTCCTACCCTCGACTTTGACTTCAATGTTAAGATTAGGGATTTTTTTTTTCTTGGTTTTAAAGACCCAACCTTTGGTTGTGGGGTCTCTTTTACTTTTACGTTAAGATTAGACTTTTAAAGACAATGAAGTATTACTAGGCTACAACCTTTAAAAACAAAATTAGAGATTTTTTTTTTTTTTTTTTGTTTTTTTTTTGAGGGTCTTTAATTTCAATGTTAATATTAGGGATTCAAAAACTAATTTGGTTGTGGGGCCTTCAACTTTGATGTTAAGATTAGGGTTTTAAACACCCAACGTTTGGTTGTGGGCCCTTTTACTTCAATGTTAAGATTAGGATTTTAAAGACAATAAAATATTACTAGACTACAACCCTAAAATTAGGGTTTTAACTAATATTGTATTAGAGTTAACATCAATTACAAAGAAACTAATAATCCCCAAAAAAATTTTGAACTAATACAATCTTCTTTAAAAAATTAAGATATTCTTCTATTTTTTGGTACAATCCTTCGTATATCCTTCCCTGAACGAATTAATACAATCTTCTTTCAAAATCACCCTCAAGTCATTAAAAAACTGTTGATTTCAGAGAGAAGAGAAAAGAATAATCTCTCGAGTACTTGAGCTTTGCTATTTTCTTCCGGAGTTGTTCAGGACTAAGCTGCGCTGCGCATAAGAAGGAACGACGTCGTCTCCTGTTTCCGCGCCTACGAACGCTTCTCGGTTTGGTTGGCACGTAAAGAACTGCCCTGATTTTTTTGTCTTGAGATTGCATCGTCATCTTCATCATGATTCTATATATATATATATATATATACGGCTTCAGATAGAGATAGAGATAGAGAGAGAGGGAGGGACTATGAGGGCTTTTGATGGTAGGGTTTATGTTTTTGGTTTGAGGCTTATTTCTTGGCAATAGTGGTTTACGTGACCGCCAATAAATAAGGAGGTTAAAAAGGATAAAAAAACCTACCGACTTGAGGATCCTAATTCTAATAGGACATTGGGTTAATTTGAATTAGTCAGTATTAATCTACTACTATTATTATTAATGTTATATATATATATATATATATATATATATATATAAATCTACATCTACACTACACTTTCCTTTTTTTCTTTAAAGTGAATGACAAAAAAGTTCATAAACTAATTAAGGCATTATCTTTTATTTCATTATACCCTAACTACCTTTTGTACTATAATTTTTTTTTTTTTTTTTTAAGGAGCCTAAAACCTCTCTCCCACCACTCTCTACCCAATCTCTCTTTTTTATTAGGGGTTTGATTGTTGATAGGGTTTCAACTTCTACTGTTTATTCGATAGGGTTCAATTGGCATCCAAACACAATTAGGCAACGCTTTATTTCATTGGGATGCACATGTGCTATCTCTGTATTCTTCTTTTTATTTTATTTTTATATAATTAGGAGTGGAGCCAGGAATCATAATTTAGGGGCTGAATGAAAAATAAATAAAAAAATAAAGTTCAATCCGGTGCATGAGAACTAATACTATATAATTTAAGATTGAAAATTTTATAAATCAATTTTAATACAATTGTTTATATTATATTATTCTTATTATTATATATTGAGGAAAAAAAAATACAGTTCTAAATAAGAGAAAAATGAATCTAAATAAGTAATTATGAAAACTAAAATGAAAAAAAATAAATAAATAAAGAAGAGGAAGAGATGAATTATAGGTAAAAAAAAAATATATTTGTAAACTCAGCGACAAAATGGTGATTAATTATTGAACAAAAAAAGATTGTAAGACCATGTCCGTGTGCGGAGATTAATAAGAGAGGAAAAAGAAAAAAGAAGAGATGTTGACACAATACTTCAATTCAATAGCAATGACTATAATATCCATTTCTTCCACACTTCATATGCATTTTATTTTTTCTGTCATTCTAAAATTGATATTTAGTCCGTACCTATGCATCTACATAATTTTAAATCGCCTAAATTGAATGAAGAAGATAGAAAAATCTTTCACTATGTAAATATTTTTTTTTACACTTCTAATATTATTTCAATATACTAATAAATAACATATTTTATTAAACTTTGCAATCTGGTTTACTTATATATAGTAGGAATACCAATTGAAAATCTTGAAGATATCACACACACGATTTGTGGAGAGAGGAGGGAAGGAGGAGGGTGATTGTGGTATTTGAAATATCGCCTCCATATAATAAATGGGGTGTCTCCCAATTGTATCATAATTCTTCATGGAAACAACCAAGGGTTGTTGGTAGCAATTGGGTTTCCTAATATTATGGGAAATTTAATCCATAATGATGTGGGAATGTCATTTTGGAAATTATTGGACACATTGATTGTGTTTTTGTGTAGAACCCAAACATGCCACATGTTTTTTGTATCGTATTTGTTATGGAGCTTTTATTTCTATAAATTATTAGAGGTGATAAATGCAACTTTTTAACTTGAAATGACATTATTGTCCCTAATACATAAGTATCAGTATTAATTTAAGGGAGCTGTTATTTGAGCTCCAAAATTTACCGTATGGGCTCCACTTTCATTTATTCATGAATTTAATGACAAAATTAACCCTCAACTATTGTAATTGTCTCCCAAAAAAACAGTCATTTGTTTCCATCTCTTTTCTTTCCATCTTTCTATTTGTATGTTTCCTTTTTCACTCCAACTGAATCGAGCAAAATTATTCTTGTTTCCATCGGTTCTATTTCTCTTTTTCTATGCTTCCTTTTCACTCCAACTGAATCACCAACCCCTACCATTTACAAATACTTATATTAATTATTTAATAAGAATATGCATAATTTTGGAAAATCATTGTCACTTAGATTTTTACGGTCAACTTTTAGAATTAGATAAAAAAAATTAAAATTAAAATTAAAATTAAGAACATTAGTGTCCATTTCTATCAAGAAAAGTAAGTTATCAGAGTTGGAAAAAATTATACTTACGGCACGAGCACATACAAAAAAAAATAATATTGAAAAGATATCAAAGGAAAAAAAGAAAAAGACTTTTGGAGATAATATAAATACTACACAGTTCATGATTCCTTTGAGGTTTCTATTAGGCTATATTTGTCTTGTTGTCTTTGTTTTCATCAATTTGAATAAACGTAATAACCCAGGAAAACGACCCAAAAGCAAAAGAAAAACCTAATTTTGTTTTGATTGCCTTGGCACATATTTGTGTAATTAGGAGAGAGAGTTGAAAAAAAAAAAAAAAAAAGAAGGGGTAGAACATGGAAAAAGGAAAGTGATAAATGCAACATTTTAATGTGAAATGATATTATTGTCCCTATTTTAATTCAAGAAAATCAAGTATTACTACATCGTTGTGTCTTTTACCGTTTTGTTCATGAAATATTTTTTATCATTTCAAACATTAGAGACAAAATTGTTAGGGAGAATTTGTTACATAAACCAGAATTTTAAGGGAAATGGGCAGAATTATAAAAAGTAGAGAAGTTTATGTGGATATCTGCAAACTCCCTCCATTCCAAATTAAAGGTCAATTAATTATATACTACCAGTCTCAAATTAAACGCCCCTCTTCGATAATCTAAGACAAGACTTGTATAGGTAATTCATACTTACCATTAATATGATCCAATCACAAATGCACAATAACTACTATTTGTCTCATAAACTTGTATTTATTTTGACAAGTTAAGTTTATATCCAGTGAGTCTTTTTTGAAAGTAGAAAAAAAAAAAAAAAAAATTTGTTCCAAATCGAATCGAACTAGCCTTTCACGGGTTCGGCTCAATTTGATTCCAAGTCTAAACGGGTTTGACTTGGATTCTAATTTTTTAGAAATTGTGGGAATCAGTTCAGTTTCGAATTTCCTTGAAACTAAACCGTGTTCAACCCTGTATAAAACAGTAAAATGGTAGATGTTTGGTTTGGACGGTATTTAATTGGTTCATTGGTTCCTCATCTGCCCCACAAATGGTACTCTGGTTGTTGCTCCTACGGAGGCAAATTATGAAGGTCACATGTTGGGCCTTCCATGTCAATTCAACTTTTTTAATTACCAATCTCTCTCTCTTTCTCAAGATTGTTTATATTTCACATCTTAATAAAATGTTTGATTTTGCCAATAAATACATAAATAAATAAAGAAAAAGAAAAGAACCTTCTGAGTGAAATTTATGAAAAGAAAGACAGATGAAGACCATGAGTGCACCGAAAAGGATACTAGGGATGGTATTTATTAGATTTGGCAAAGAACTGCGTTAAAGTTGAGAGAAGAAGGATCTTTTTTTAGTGTGTGCAAAACTTGAGGGGTTAATTTTTCTGAAAGAAACAAATTTCAGGAAAAAAAAATATATATATATATATATATATAGTTTTTTATGTTTTCAAATAACAAAAAATAGAAAGTTGTACAAAAGCTCAGGTTGATAACTCAATTATAAAAATGCATATTTTTATAGAATTAGAGCTTATTTGCTTTGTAACTTTGAAAATAATTATTAAGAATTCCGAAAAACAAAAAATTGTAGTTATCTGAAAACAAAACTAAGCAATGTTTTTGTATAGTTTTTATTTTTATTTTTATTTTTATTTAATTTCAACTCTAAAAATTAAATTATTAATAATTATTTTCAAAGTTACAAATCAAATATATTCATAATTTTTATTTTTTTAATAAACAAAAGGAAAAAAAAAAATTATTGACACTAATATTTAAAGTATTGGTTGGCATGGACATCTCATCAATGCTAAATTATGTCTAGTATGAAAACCAAAAATATAAAAGTGTTTATAAATGATTTGATTATGGTTTGAACTCTTACATGACCGAGCCGAACCTTTATATAAATTTATATAATATTTCATTATACATATTATAATTATGTAATAAAATATTATATTATATTGGATCTGAG